CGGCATGGGGGGGCGGGATGGGGGCTCAGCCAGAGTGAGCTATCTGGGATGAGGGGTTCTGGGTTTGTATCCCCCCTCCTCTAGTCCTCTGGCCGCTTCTGACAAGCCTGGTCCTGTCTCTGAGCCTCAGCCTCCTCATCTGTCAGCAGGAGATAAAATGTGAGCAAGGACTGGAACCCTGTGTCAGGGAGTCGAGGTGGGCTGCTCTATCAGAATGAGGCAAAAGGGCCTTTTGGGGGGCCTCCCCAGTGATGGGTGAGTGGGTGGTGTGTGCATCTGGGGAAGAGGAAGGCAGACAGGAAACTGGCCGCCCCGGGGGGCCTCAGCCTCCTGATGCATCAACCAGAAAAGTCTCTAGGGCCTCCCTTGCCTTGAGCCCTGTGACCTGAAGCATGTGTGTCTGTGTGTGTGTGTGTGTGAGAGAGAGAGAGAGAGAGCACATGTGTGTGTTAGAGTCCCTGGATGTCTGTCTGAGTGAGTGTGAGTATGTCTGTGTGTGTCCACACCTAGGAGCCCATGGGTGAGGATGAGCAGCCTCTCACCTTGGCAGAGGAAGATCAGAAATTCCAGGAACCAGGGGCTTTCATCTCCCTGCCAAGCGGGGCCCTCAGAGCCTGGAGCACCTGCTCAGTCAGTACCAGGGATGGTGCCCTAAGTGGGCACCAGGTCACCCCACTTCTGTCCCAACCCCCAAGCACCTGGTAGCTGGATCTTCTCTCTCCATCTCTCCCCAAGAGCACCTGCACTGCCTGATTTGACTTCATTTGCATTCAGACCCCCCCAGGCCCTCCTTCCCTCAGATCACAGTGTCATTCTCATGCCTGTCAGCCCTGTCAAGGAGGCTGCGGACTTCCTGTGGGTGAGGGGCCAAGGGTTATGTTGGAGGGGCCCTGTCCCCGGCCTACCCACTTCTTCATGCAGAGAGTCAGCCTGGCTCTTTCCCTTCTTAAGAGATAGGATTATTAAGCACTCACTCTCTGCAGATAATTTATATACACCTGTTCATTACATCTTCACTTTAAGGTACTTTTATGCCCGTTTTACAGAGGAGAAAATTGAAGCTCAGAGAAATGAAGTGACTTGGCTCAGATCCCACAGTAAGTGGGACTGGAAGTCAGCTCTGGTGGACTTTCTGCAGACACACTGGGGTGTGGGTGTGGGAAGGGGGGGACCCAGGCTCTCTTTCTTGGCTCCCTACCCTCCTGGTGACAAGCCATCTGCTTGCCACCTGGCTCTTGGTCTTTTCGCTCAAGGGACCGACCCCCTGGGGAGATGAGGGTGGTGGTAGTAATGGCAGAAGACAAAGCGGCTGCTGAGGTTTTGGCCTCTCTCCACACGCTTACCCCAGTCCAGTCAGAGGTTTTCTCTACAATTCTTTCTCCCAGACCAGTTGAGCTAGCTATCCCCCAACTCCTGATGGCCCTGCCCAGACACTGTCTGAAGAGACCAACCTTCCAGGTCCAGCCTCAAGGTGAAGATTCAGTGACTGTTTGCTTAGGATTAATAATAATAAAATAATAATAATAATAATAATAATAATAATAATAATAATAAAATCTGCCATCAGTTGAATGCTCACTAAGTATCCAGCCTGTGCTGAGTGCTTTTCAGGCAGTCTCTCAAAGCAGTATTTCCTGCAACTAGAATTGCATCCTATTATTATTCCCTGTTTTCAGGGAAGGAAACTGAAGCACAGAGAGGTAAAGTGACTTACCCAAGATCACACAGCTAAGAAATGCCACAGGCAGGTTTCAAACTGAGCCTATCTGGGTCTAGAGTCTGTGTTGCACTGAAGTGAACAGTCAAGAAATGGATATTCTAAGGGCTTGTCCCCCCCTAGTCGCTGTGGGCTGTGGAGGTGTCTTAGACCACCGACCCCAGGCTGGGCTGGGCTGGGCTGGGCAAGGTAGGTCCATCTCACCTCACATGGACTGAAGAACAGAAGCACCCTGGATTCCAGCCACTGCGCAAGTCACTCTTCCCCTTTGAGCCTCAGTTTCCCCATTTGCTGAAGGAGGCTCTGGCCTTGCCCAGCCTCCCAGGGCAGCTGCGGAGTCAAGGCTGGATTTTTCCAGTAGAACCTCATTTTCAACTACAATCTTACCCAGAAGGCCAACATATGAAACTGATAAAAGGGGTGTTTCATCAGCATACATTTCTAAGCTCAGGATGCTGACAGGTCCTTAGTCTAAAGTCACTTGAGAGGGTAAGTGTGTGACACTTGTAATGGGACACACATCCTGCTTGGGGTGTTGGGGAGGCCCATGGTGCCGGGAGCCACCCCAGCACCCAGTCTGTTCCAGCAGCTTGTCTGAGCTACACAGCATCAAGGAAGCCTTGAGGCCTGCAGGCAAAAAAAACGTTTTTAAAAAATGAATTTAAATTAAGCTCCGGTGACAGCCACACAGCCCAACCAGGGGTCCCAGGGGTCTACAGAACCCATCTGATGACCCCCGGCCCTGGCTGTGAGACCCTGGGCACAGCCCTTGCCCTCTTTGGGTTTTAGAAGGCACAGGAGGCTGGGGTCCACGTCTAGGGGCCCATCTGTTTACCTCAGCGGGTCTGGAGTTGGTGATCAGAGACACGTGGCTGATGACCTGGCTCCCCACAGCCCCTCAGAAGCCTGGTGGGTGAAGCAACAGAGTGTGTGCGAAGAAAACCTTCAAGGCCTGGCCTGGGGGCTCAGCTGGGATGTGGGAGACAGCTAGGATGAGGTGAGGTGGGATGGGGAGGAGGGAGCTGACCATGCCCTGAGAGTTTAAAAATAACTCCTGTCTGAGTGCTGTTAGCTCCAGCCAGCCCCAGCTTCCAGGCTCTGGTGACATCACCAGGGCACAGGATGTCCTTGGCAGGGCCTGGGGGTGGCAAGGGGAGGGCGGAGGGGGTCCTGATTTGCCCTTTCTGTTATTTGTGTTTGGGGAGAGCCAGCCTGGGTTGTCCTGGACAAGAGGGGCTGCCGGGGATCCCTCCCCAGCCAACCCTTGAGAGCATTCCCTTTTGCATCTGAGAAAACTGAGGCCCCAACTTGGAGAGATTTGGCAGGTCCAGAACTCGAGGCCAGCGGGGCTAGCTCCCAAGCAGTGGTTCCGGAAGTCTGGTGAGCATGGGATGGGGGACCATTTGGGGAGAGGTCTCACTTGGGTGGAGGGCAGGGGGAGGCACCAAATGGGCAAATGCCTAGCACTGTACTTGACATTGTTCAGAACAAACAAGTTCCTCCTGACCATCCTTCGCCTCTGCATCTCCCTCGGACCCTTAGGAGGGACTGACAGGGATTAGTGCTGTCCCCATTTTATAGATGAGGAAACTGAGATCCAGGGAGACAGAACCACCTACTCTAGTCCTCAAAGCCAGCATATCATGCCCATCTGGGATGGGGTCCAGCATCCCCCAGCTTGAGCTGCTAATAGAGAGGGAGCTAAGGTGGAGCCAGGGTGGGTATAGGGGCTGGGGGAAAGAGGGGCTGCCATAAGGATACAGGGAAGGGCTGGAAAGGAGACCCTGCTGCCTCCGCTGTTGGGGCGCCCCATTCATTGGGCCTCCCTCCCATTGCGCTCCCTCCTCACCCCTCCTCTATGGGCTTCCTGCCCCCTTGCACTCAGGCCAAAGTCAGGCCTTGCCTGGTCAAGGCTTTCCCTGCACATCCAGCCTCATCTCTCATCACGTACTTGACATACTCTAAGCCTCAGCCTCAAACTGCTTCTAGATCCCTACAGCGATTGCTATTTCAGGCCTCTGAGCATTTGAACAAGCTGTTCCTGCTGCCTGGAATGCCCCCTCCTGTGTCTTCCTGGGGAACTCCTATACATCCTTCACAGTTCAGCTCTGAGCTGTCCTGCTCATCAGACCACGACCCTGACCCCGGATTGCTGTTTGCTGCCACCTCTCCTCTGGACCCACGACCCTTTTAGGGCAGGAACTGTATTGTATTCCCCTTTCTGTGCAAGGGCCTAGCACATGCTTGGATGAAGGAACTCAACTGGGTCCTGAGCCTGCTCGTTTCTCGCCAGGGACTTTGTCCAAGTCACATCCCCTCTCTGAGCCTTGTAAGGTGAGGACAAGGACCACTCTGCAAGCTTGTTGGAGAATGCTGGGATCTCCTGTGTCCCTTAGTAGGCATTAAAGGGCTTTACCGGTGTGGGGGGTGTTGTTCCACGGCCACAGTTCAGTCTCTGGCCACAAACCCCAGTCTAACCACCCCCCCAAGGTAGGCCCCTCACTTGCTCTGCCCTGTCTCTCCACACTGCCCACCAAATCAAAGCAGGGGCAGTCCCAACCTGCCACCCTCCTGCTGCTTGCTTGCTCCCCCCTCCCCCCGAACCTCAGAAAGCCCAAGATTCCCCAAGGGAGCCTGTTTCAAATGCTGAGTCCCAGGCCTCATCACCAGAAGGCCCACTCAGAAGGGCCTGGGGTGGAATCCCAGAATCAGCACTGTTAAGCAGCCGCCCGGTGGCCCCGACCCAGCTTTCGGAGCCTCCTGAGTGCAGCATGACCTTCGGCAGGGAGGAAGAGCAGGTGCCACCATGGAGGGGCTGGGGACTGGGGACGATCTCAGGTGGTGGCTGCCTGCAGCCTTTCCTCCATTTCCCAGGGGGAGGCGAGCAGGCCCTAAGCTAGGGGCTTCGGCAAGGGGCTCCCTCGGCCTGCTGGCCAAAGGCGGACCCCCGGGCGGCCGGCACTGGCCGCACACGGTGCGCGCGCGCGCGCGCGGGCCCCCGGGCCGAGTCCGGCCCGCCGCTGCCTCCCGTCAGAGCCGTCTGCTGGGGAGCCAGACGCGGATATAAATAACAGCGAAGCCAGGCCGGATGAAGTAAGCGCGAGCGGAGGGAGGCAGGAGCCGCCGCCGGGGAGCGGGGCACGCAGACGCGCGCGGCGGGGAAGGGGCGGCGCGGGCCCGGGTGACCTTGGGGGGGGGAGGGCGGGGGCCCCGGGCCTGGAGGTGTGACGTCGCCCGGGTCGCGGGGAAGCGCAGGGGCGCTGCGGGGGGCCGGGGCCTGGCCAGGAAGCTCGGGGCACCGAACCCCGCCCCTGGGGGGCCGGCCAGGGGCTCTGGGCTGGAAGGCTCGCCCGCCGGTGAGCGGCCTCGGCCCCGACGCACGCCCCGTCTGCTCTGAGCCTCGCTCTCCCCGGGCGTGCGCTCGCGCCCCTCCGGCCCTGCCCCCCCACCTCCCCGCGGCTCGGCGGGCGCGGAGGGGGCAATTCTGGTGTCGAAGGACGGAACAGCCGGGCTGTTCCTAGGAGGGGCCGCCCCCATTGGCTGCCCTCCTCCGCCCCGCCCCCCGCGCCGCCCGTTACGTAACCCTTCCCCCCCCGCCCCCCGGCCTCCGCTGGGGTTGGGGGCCAGGAAAGGAGAGGCCCCGGCCCTTCCCTGGGCGCGGTCCTGCGTGGTTCAGCAACCTTCCCTGCCGCTTAACGCCCAGGGGGAAACTGAGGCCGTTGTCTAGAGGGGCCCAGCGAGGTGGGTCCCTGCGGGGATGGGGTGACCGAGCAGGCGAGGATCCTTGGTTTACAGGGGAGCCCAGACTGTGATGGGAGCCTCGGCACCACCTCGGGTCACGACTTCCTCCTCTGTGCTAAGGTTCCCTCCCTGGCCGGGACCTTAGGAGCCCCGGAGGTCCCCGGCTGCGGGAGCCTTCCACAGCTACCCCCCCCCCCCCCCACTGTGCCTGGGCCACAGTGTATCTTGAATTCTAGTCAGGCAGTGATACCCAGTGGTGACTGGTTCTTCCGCCCACCCCATGGGTGACCTTGGGTAGACTTTGCCTCTCAGAGCCTCAGTATCCCCACTTTTAAACTCGGACTGCTCATGGGCCCTCCTTCTAGTGTTGTAGGGAAGAACCCAGGCATGTCAGCACCTGCTGAGTACTTAGCAAGGTAACTGTGTACTGTCCTAATTCTCCCCTAATCCTCTCCCAGGATCTGGCCCGGTGCAGGACCTGAGCCCAGCCTTCGGCTCCTCCGCAGTGCCCCATTGGGCTGGTCTGCTCGCTGTGGACCTTAGCCTTTGCCCAGGGAGCGCATGGTCCGGGCCTGCCCTGTGGCAGCACAGGGGGCCTTGCCTGATACCTTCTAAGAGCAGATTCTGGGACAAGAAAAGTATCTGCCTGGGTCTTCTGTGTACTCCTCAGACTCAGTGGGAGCCTCTGTCCCTTCATCTGCAAAATGGGGAAAATCACACCTCCTTCCTTCCCCTCCTGCTCAGCCTCTGCCAGGATGAGGAGAGGCTGCTATCCCCGCTCCCAGTTACCGGGCTGGGACCGCGAACCCAGGGCGTTATGCTCATTTTACCTTCCGACAGGTGAGAATTGATGTCCTTTTACAGTTGAGGAAACCAAGAGGTGGAGTAACTCCTCCAGGTAGGGTGACCGACCGTTCTGGCTTGCCTTAGACTGAGGGGTTTCCTGGGACACAGCACTTTTACTGGGAAAACTGGGAGTCACCCTGCCTCCAGGACACACACCTCACAAGGTGCAGTATCTGAGTCCAGAGTCTGGCAGTCCAGCTCCAGACTGTGTTTCCCTCTCTCAGTATTTGCTAAATGAATGAATACATCCCTCCCCACAACTGTCTCTCAGCCTTTGCTGGGCACCTTGGCTCATATATCAGGATAGAGTTTGGACTCTGCCGGAAGTGTTGTGTGGGAAGTGAGTATGGTCTCTGGGTTTCGCTGCTGGTTTTCTAGGATCCCCCTCAGGCCCTCCCTGGTTCACCTTGACCTGAGGGAACCCCCAGGGTCTGCCCATCGGGCTCTTACCCTTTTTCCTACAGAGGTGAGGAGCCACAGGCCCCTAATACCAGCTGTGTCACTTTGCTTGCTGAAGCTCAGTTTCCTCACCTATAAAATCAGGGAGATAAAACCTGCCTCCGGTTGCTGCAGGGATTCAGGGAAATGCAGGTAGAGCTCCTGGCACACAGGAAGTCCTCAATACATCCACGTTATTGCTGCTTATTAATGTGGTAGTTATAGCCGACTACTCCAGCAAGTGCTTCCTCTGGGAGGGGAACTGTCTTAAATGCCCTCCGTGCATTCAAGCCCCAAAAAGAAGTAGGTGCCAACTTTCAGGTGAAGATCTGAGTCTCAGAGAGGTTGTGACCTCCCGGAGGTCAAGGCCATAGGGGGGCAGGGCCAGCGTTTGCAGGGTACTGTCCTCTTCTGGAACTTAGCTCAAGTGATGGCAGGCGGGAGTGGTCTGGGGAAACTAAGGCGTATGTTAGGGAAGGATGGCTGAGGCCCTCGCAGGGAGCCAGGCCCCCCGGTCTCCCTCCCAGACCAGCTGGTCCTCTCCTCGCCCAGGGTGGCAGGTCAGGTTGTACAGACGAGTCCTTTGCTCGGGCCAGGCCGCTCCCTGCCCCCCTCGGCCGGCTGCCCGTGCCCTCTGCCAGCTACTGTTCCCTGTCCGCCAGCCAAGCCGTGAAGCAGTCCCGGACATTGTGTCCAGAGAGAGGGCCAAGCAGGCCCCCCTACCGGTGGCCGATGACCTCCCGCCCTGCCCCTCTGGGCCTCAGGCCAGCCTGGCCTGTCCCCCGCCCCGGCCCAGGCGGCCCGCCAGAGCTGCCCTCCCAGAGGCCAGCCCAGTGCCTCGCCACCTCCTGCCACCCTGCGAGCCCTGCTTAAGAGGGGTGCCCCTGCTGCAGCCCGGGCCCGCTCCCCAGAAGGCAGCCCTAATTCCAGAGGGGGGGCTCCCTAGTGTGCTGATCAGGAGAAGCCAGCTGGGCTCCGTGCCCTGGGCGTTTCTGCTCGGCCTGTCCCCAAACCCAGCTGAGCCAAGGCGAGCGGCCCCCTTGGGCAGAGAGCTGAGGGGGGGTGGGGGGCTCTGTGCCCATGTGAGCGGGGCCAACCCTGTTTCCACGCCGTATGGCTAAGGAAGCTGAGCTGCACAGAGAGGCCCAGATTCTGGCAGAGCCACATGACCCAGCTGAGGCTGCTGCACGGAGCAGGAAGGGGCGGAAGGGCAGCAACAACCGGGAGGGGCAGTCCCCGAGGGGCGGGGGGCACGCGCAAGACAAGGGGGCCCCCTGTGGTTTTAGTTGAGCTGCCCCCCGCCCCGGGCTCAGAGCCCCTTTCCCTCACTTCCCCCAACCTAGTGTTCCTGCCTTGTCACCCGCTTTGCTTCCCTGAGGATACTTCTGTCCGTGGCTTTTGTGTATCAGGTGTATTGTTGATCTTGTGCACAAGACCAGGAGCCTGGTGAGCGCAGGGATTGTGTTGTCCCTGCTGCATCTCCAGGGCCAAGAACACAGGGATTTGCACATAGTAGGTCAATCTATATTTGTGGAACGGACAATCGAGTATCGGCTGTGCCTTTTAGTCACCAGAATCAAAAAAAGGAACATATCCGTCACCCTCAAAAGTTTCCTTATTCCCAATTTTTTTTTTAAAGATTTTATTTATTTATTGAGAGAGAGAGAATGAGAGACAGAGAGCATGAGAGGGAGGAGGGTCAGAGGGAGAAGCAGACTCCCTGCCGAGCAGGGAGCCCAATGCGGGACTCGATCCTGGGACTCCATCCCGGGACTCCATCCCGGGACTCCAGGATCATGACCTGAGCCAAAGGCAGTCGTTTAACCAACTGAGCCACCCAGGCGCCCCACCTTGTTCCCATTTTTAATCCCTTTCTCCAGTCTCTTTCCCTCCTCCTCTCCTGTCCCAGGCAACTACTAATCTGCTTTCTGTTGCGACGTGATTAGTTTGCATTTTCTAGAATTTTCTGTAAATGGATTCAAATAATATGTTGGGTTTTTTTGTTTGTTTTGGTCTGACTTTCACTCGTTTTAATATTTTGAGATTCATTCATGTTGCGTGTATCAGAGGCTCATTTCTTTTTATTGTTGTGGAGTGTTCCATAGTGTGATGCCCTGGAGTTTGTTCAAGCCTTCACCCCTTGAAGGACATTGGGGTTGTTTCCTATCTGGGGCTAACACATAAAGCTGCCGTGAACATTTGTGTAAAAGTCTTTGTATGGACGTTCATTTCCTTTTCTTACGGGCAAATGCTTAAGAACAGAATGGCTGGGTCCTGTTGTCGGTGTGTGTTTAACTTCTAAAGAATCTTCCAATTTATTCTACAAAGTGGTTGTGACATTTTGCATTCCCACCAGCAGTGTATGAAAGTTGCTAATTTCTCCACATCTTCGTTAACACTTGGTATTGTCAGTCTTTTAAATTTTAGCTGCTGTAATAGGTGTGTTTATTGTGGTGTTAGTTTGCATTTTTCTAATGACTATTGATGAGCAGTTTTTCATGTGCTTATTTACCATTCATTTATCTTTTTTTAAGATTTTATTTAGAGAAAGAGTGGGGGAGGGGCAGGGAGAGAAGGAGAGAGAGATCTTTTTTATTTTTTTTAAGATTTTATTTTATTTTATTTTAAAGATTATTTATTTATTTATTTGAGAGCGAGAGAATGAGAGAGAGCACATGAGAGGGGGGAGGGTCAGAGGGAGAAGCAGACCCCCCGCGGAGCAGGGAGCCTGATGCGGGACTCGATCCAGGGACTCCGGGATCATGACCTGAGCCGAAGGCAGCCGTTCAACCAACTGAGCCACCCAGGCGCCCGAGATTTTATTTTATTTTAGAGAGAGAGAGAGAGCAGGGGGCAGGGGCAGAGGAACAGGGAGAGAATCTCAAGCAGACCCTGCAGTGAGCACAGAGCCTGACATGGGGCTCGATCTCACGACCCCGAGATCAGGACCTGAACTGAAATCAAAACTCAGACACCCAACTGACTGAGGCACCCAGGCACCCCCCCATCATATATCTTTTTTTTTTTTTTAAGATTTTGTTTATTTATTTGACAGAGACACAGCGAGAGAGGGAACACAAGCAGGGGGAATGGGAGAGGGAGAAGCAGGCCTCCTGCAGAGCAGGGAGCCCGATGTGGGGCTCAATCCCAGGACCGTGGGATCATGACCTGAGCCAAAGGCAGACGCTTAACAACTGAGCCACCCAGGCGCCCCTGTCATATATCTTTTTTTTTTTTTAAGACTTTATTTATTTGACACAGAGAGAGTGAGAGAGATAGAGCACAAGCAGGGGGAGTAGCAGGCAGGCAGAGGGAGAAGCAGGCTCTCTGCTGAGCAAGGAGCCTGATGCGGGACTCGATCCCAGAACCCTGGGATCATGAGCCGAAGGCAGCCGCTTAACTGACTGAGCCACCCAGGCGCCCTATCATATATCTTTTTTATGAAGTGTCTGTTCAGATCTTTTGCCCAGTTTTGTATTGGGTTGTTTTCTTATAATTGAGAGGTGTTTAGTTCTGTTTTTTATTTTTTTAAAGTAATTTTTAAAAAGATTTTATTTATTTGTCAGAGAGAGAGAGCGCGCGCGCAAGCAGGGGGAGCAGCAGGCAGAGGGAGAAGCAGTGTCCCTGCTGAGCAGGCGGTCCGATGCGGGACTCGATCCCAGGACCCTGGGATCATGACCTGAGCAGAAGGCAGATGCTTAACCATCTGAGCCACGCAGGCATCCCTGTGCTGTTTTTTAGATATAATTGACTGATATAACATTATATTAGTTTCAGGTATATAACATACTGGTTTGATGTTTGTATATATTGCAAAATGATATAATTGAGTTTTGAAAGTTCTTTGTAGATTCTGTATAAAACACTTTTATCAGATACATATAATTTGCAAAATATTTTCTCCCAGTCTGTGGCTTGTATTTTTATTCTTTTTATTTTTTATTCTTTTACCAGTCAGTGTCTAAGGGAGATTTTTTTTTTTTTTTTATAAAGTTCAGTGTATCAGTTTTTTCTTTTATGGATCATTTTTCAGGAGTCATATCTTTTTTTTTTTGTAAATTTTTTTGTTTGTTTTTGTTTTTTAAGATTTTATTTATTTATTTGAGAGAGAGAATGAGAGACAGAGAGCACGAGAGGGAAGAGGGTCAGAGGGAGAAGCAGACCCCCCGCTGAGCAGGGAGCCCGATGATGCGGGACTCGATCCCGGGACTCCAGGATCATGACCTGAGCCGAAGGCAGTCGCTTAACCAACTGAGCCACCCAGGCGCCCCTCAGGAGTCATATCTAAGAACTCTTTGCCTAACTCAAGATCACAAAGATTTTCTCTTCTGTTTTCTTTTAGAAGTTTTTAGTTTTAGTTGTATATTTCTGCCTTTGGGATATCTCTGTGGCTTCTCGAAGGCATGGTCTTTACTTGCTGTGCCCCTGGCTCTCACTCTTCCACTCCTGAGCCTTGTTCCTCTCCTCGCCTCCCTGCTGACTGCCTGGAGCCCCCCAGTGCTCAGTCCGGGTGTCATCTTACCAGCCTACGCTGGAACACTTGGCCTATGTTCTGTGCCATAATTCCTCACTCACCAGCTTCTGCCAACCCTCTGAAGGGCCTTCCCAGGCTGG